AAATGATGGGTGTTTTTGGTTGTTGTTTTGTTTTGCAGAAAAGCATACAAAAGCAAATGCGGTTGGAGGGCAAAAGGACTCCAGGAGGCTGCACAGGGTGCCACATTCACACGAAGCTTTTCTTTTTCGGACTTTGATGAGTCATAATGTGTTCTCTGAACTTGCTTTTCCCTTTCTAGTTTGGTATCAAAAGATAGAAATCACTTTTTCATGTCTGTATGGCCACATTCACTAGTTATGTAAGTCTGCTTTGGTTGGCATTCTGTATAGATATTGGGTTTAAAGCTTAATATCTAGATACAGCACCCTCGTAAAGAAAAATTCCATGTACAAAGTTAGGAAGCTTCTAGTCCCAACAGAATACCACCATTCCTCCAAAATACCACTCAAATTCTCTTTATGATGATATCACTCTTCAGCTTAAAATCCTTTGTCTATTCCCAATCCATTTTACAATAAATTTCAAACTTATTTGCCTATTATCTTAGACTGGGCTGTACATAGACAGGTCCCTACAAGCCTTCTTGACTCCCCACCCCACCACCAGCCAAAATGCCTGGGGTCAGAGAAAACCCGCCTACCCTTTGGTTCCTAAGTGACCACACTGGACATTCTTCCCTCTGACTGAAGTGCAGGCCTCAACCCACATCCTCAAGACTCTGCTATGACCCAGAATCCTTCCAGTGGTCTTCCCTTTTCTCCCCAGGCAGAGGAAGCTGCTTGTCCTCCTCTGCTCCCATAGCAACCAGTGTATGCCTCCACTATAGCACTTATCACTTTGATGCAGTTTTTTGTTTGGTGGTGTCCTCTAGATGGTTCCTGCCTGGAGGGTGTTTCATCTTTGAAACCTCAGCAATTAGCCTGATAACCTAGCACATTGTGTTGTAAAAAAAAAAAAGAAGAAGAAGAAGAACTGTGTTGAAGGAAAGGATGAGAGATAGATAATAAAATTATCTGACATAGAAAATTTAGCAGGTCTTCACTATTAGTAATTATCATGTTAATGAACATCATCAGTAAGTGTTCTGAATCTTTATCTGCCAAGTTGAAAAGCTTGGAAAATGTTTTTGGTTTTTGTTTTGTTTTGTTTTGTTTTGTTTTGTTTTGGGGAGGGGGAGGTGGGAAGATAAGGAGAAGCTACAGCTCTTCTAGTCATAGAAAGAGCACTGACAAGGGCCATGGGCTGTGGTTCAGGCCTGTAATTCCAGCACTTTGAGAAGCTGAAGTGGGCGGATCATGAGGCCAAGAATTTGAGACCAGCCTGGCCAACATGGTAAAACTCTGTCTCTACTAAAAATACAAAAATAAGCTGGGCGTGGTGGCGGGCGCCTATAATCCCAGCTACTCTGGGAGGCTGAGGCAGGAGAATCATTTGAACCCAAAAGGTGGAGGTTGCAGCGAATTGAGAGCCCCATTGCACTCCAGCCCAGGTGACAGTGTGAGACAAAAAGAAAAAGAAAAAAGAAAAGAAAGAGCACTGACAGGAAGTTTTGTTTGTTTTTAAATTAGTGTTGGAGTAACATGAATGCATACCTAGCAATTGTTTAATAGAGTAGTAATAATTATAATTGTAGCTCCCTTTTATTTCTCTTTTAAATTACATGCCTAAAGTTGTGCAGAGACTGGTACATATGTTGTTTAATCCATTTAACCCTATGAGCTACATGACTTCATCTCCATTTTACAGATAAGGAAACCGAGAAGCAAGAAGTAATTTGCCTAAGGCAGGGGTCTCCAAAGTGGAATGACCAAGAAAATGTATTGTGATACAGGAAGAACAGAAGAAATTCTATTTCTGTTTTCTTTAATGATTAAAACAAATAATGATTCAAGGACAAAAAAATAGCTTTATGTATATTTATTATACTCATTGACCCTTGACCCTAGAGTCTTTACATGGTCCCTAAGTAAACTGGTCATGTGTCATGTAGTGTTGCTGAAGAATACTGAAAAACAAAAAGTTCCACAGGCAGAAGGGTGATACTGGCACCTTCTGGTTCTTTCATTGCCATTGACATCTTTTTAAGCATTGATATTGCCTCGAGTTTGCAGGTTCCACGTTAAATAAATCCATAAGATTATAGCATCTAGTTTTAACCAATCAACTGTCTTATTTGGGGAGCATGTAGCTTAAAAAACAATTTCTGTGAAGAAATAGAAGATTGAGATAATACCAATAATATAAGCACAGGTGAAAATCAGGATCAAATTTGCCGGTTTAACCTCTAAGAACTCTTTTCCAGCCAAACTGAGGAGTAAAACAATGATAGTCTAATTAGATCTAACAGGAAATAGGTCAAAAGCATTCACAATTTTCCAGGACTATTTGAAATTTGGATTTATATTAACTGTCATGAATGAAGAATTCTGATCTAAGCATGTATTTTTCCTTGAGATACTATTGATTTTATGATATCATGATTAGCAAGATAATTGAAAATTTTCTGTTATAGTCATCTAATTCTTTTACAATTTTTATTTTGTGTATGTTTTATAGTGCACATATGTTAATATTGAATACATGTATTATGAATAAATATACATAAATCATGCTTTTTTTTTTTTTTGCTTTTTAACTGTAAGGAGAATGTGATCAAACAACTTGGAGATGACTAAATGATGAAGTCAGAATTTTTAACTAAGCTTGGTAGAACTCCAGACTCAGAGTGATCTGTGTTGCTCATGTGAAAACTGCCCCAAAATTTGTCATCAGTACAGGGTTCTTAATCCATGATGGAGGGTTGATGGGGGTGGAATACAAATGATCTTTGGGGCATTTAAGAATTCCCTGAAACTGTGTTCAAAATTCTAGGATCATGTTCATGTACGCTTTCTGCAGACAGGGTATGTACATTTCATCAGATTCTCAAGGGGATCTTCCCCGAAACGGGTAAGAATCACTGACCCAGAGATATCAGCAGTCTCAATAACCTAGGATAATTTTCTGATAAATTAATCCTCTCCATAACTTTTATAAAACTAAGTGTGCACATTTTATATATCCAAACATATCTACCCTTTAAAAATCCTAACTCAGTGTTTCTTTAGATAAACCAAATGCATTCTAACTGCCCAATGAAGGATTCCATTCGTCTTCAGAGATGGGCTTTCTGAGGATAAGTTTATTCTAAAGAATTTCCTCAGTAATGCTGCATTATATATTGTTGACTAGACTAGAAAGAATTTTTTGTGTTGTCATCAAGGTTTTGACACATCTTTGGGCAGTTGTACATGAAGAATCAGAACATGAATTTGGGTTCTCAAATTTTCTGTCATAAGTTGTTCAAATATTTTCACTTTTGTTCGGCCGGCCATTGTACCTGCTACCCTTTGATCTGTGCTGTGCTTCTCTGATTGATAATGGCTTCTGTACCACTGTGACACTGTAGCTTACCTCTAAGCCCCTCAGCTAAATCCACATATTCATCTCCCATGCCGTTATATGGGATTTTATCGCAGCATTTTACTTTTGACCACCTTCAGCTGTTATTGGGTTTATCTTTTCAGTTACTAGTCATTGCTTTTTGTTTGTGTGTGACCCTTTTCCAGCTTGGCTTATGCTATGTCACCCACCAAATTCTTACTTCAAGTTCAGTACACAAAAGCACAATTCACTATTGTCTTTTTTCCAATCCCGTTTTCTACACTTGAAGTTCTATGTAAATTCAAGAGATGAGTAGAAAATAAGCCAAGAGTATATCAAAGGGGAGACAACTACTGAAATTACATTAGATGACTATTTAAAAACCAGAGATAAATATTCTGCTTTGGGGAAAAATAAAATTAGTTTCTCCACAGGTAGGGACAAAATACATTCCACAATGGTATGACTTTATTTTAGTTTTCAATGGTGTTCGCCAGTCAGAATTGATGAATATATAAAACAAAAATAAGAAGTTTCAGGAAAGGGTTGCAAGCATCTGGATTCTGCATGGGGGCAAGGTTTAATGCTGGGCAGGAAGCTTTGATCTCCCCTCCAGATAAACTCAACTGAACAGTCATTGACTTCAGTGAGGGTTGGGCAGAAAGGAAAAGCTCTCACTTGGTCTGGAACTGTGCATGTGCAATTGCTTATCTTCCCGGAGACATTGTGATATCTGTTGGAATTTTACTATTATGAAGACTATTTGGTACCTTTCAATAGTAGACTTTCCTTAAACATGGGGGAAGAACAAGGAATTCTCTGATCAGATTAAAAAACATCACAATATACAACCGTTTTTGGCGGTGGTTTAATTCTTAGGACTTAGGGTTTGGGGGTATATTTAAATCTTAAAGAGGTTGACCTCACCCTTTACCTATATTTTATTAAAACACTTAAAAAATATATCCTCTTATCAGGGATGGATTTTATGGTGTGATTTATCAACTGACATTACCTGTAACCACAGTTACCTAATATTCTGCAGTTCTCTTGGCCCATATCAATGTTAATTATTTTCCCAAGAACTTAAGACCAGAATTTTGAGCTATTATTTCTAATGCTAACATAATAAATAACTGCTTACTAATTGAGGAAAATAATAGTGAAAGCATAATTTAATGATATAAATAAACGACTGTTCTTTTAAATAGCCTTCTAATGCTATCACCACTGGTCTTTAAGCTATTACAGACTGTTTATCAGTCTTACTTAAAATGATATCATTGAAACTTCTTATAATAACCACTGGTTTAAAAAATACATATCAATCTTAGAACTTCTGGTTCCATGCACAAAGTAAGCATAATACAGTAAAACACATGTTTGAATGGATTGCCCAAGATCACCCACTAAGATTAGAATCGTGGTGTCCACATTCCCAATCAGTATTACCATCTACTATACAACAGTTTCCCTTAAAAGAAGAAGAAAAATGTCTCCAGGATCATGTTCTGCAACTCAGTGATAGCCATCAGTGACCAACTGAAGAAATGGGCTCAGCACCATCCATTACATGCTAACAAATTTATTTCCATAGACCGTGGCTTGCAAACTTTTATTAACTGCTCAAAGTAAGAAATGTATTATGTATCATGACCTATTACATACATACTTACACAGTGAATTGGATCAGTCAGGGTCCAACCAGGAAAACAGAAGGAATTTAATTCAGGGAATTTGTTACATAGATGATGAAAGAGCTAAGAAGTTAAATAAAGTATTGAGTAGCAACAGTAAGAAGTCACTTATCCCCTCTAGGATTTGAGAAGCCCAGAGATAATTAATGAGCCCCAGAGACCAGGGTCTTGTAGTGAAACCTGAAACCATGATAATTCTCAGTTAGAGTAATGAAGATACAACTGTTGGTAGAGATGCAGCTACAAGCAGAAAGAGAAGAGAACATTCCCTTCCTCCTGTGTTCCAGCTGTCCTGTCTCTTGCTTGTAAGCATTTCTTAGAAGTCAGCCTCTCATGGGTTGACTGCAGCTGACATAGGAAGCTGGAAAGTGCAGCCCACAAGAGTCCCCCTTCCCCTGCCTTAATAGAGCTGAGTCAAAGGAAGAATGAGTTATGAATCTGACAGCCAACAAACAGTAACTAAAATGAAACTTTCTAAAACAATACTTATCCTGACTAAATGCAATGCCCTCTGAGGTTAATATTTTCTGTTCTATTTCTTATTCTTTAAAAAAAATTTTTTTTTAACGCAACTCACCATGGCTTATAACTCATAGTGAGTTAAAAATTCTTTGGACCAATAGGGGATACACAAGTTAGAAACTTCTTGCTCTGGCCAGGCATGGTGGCTCACACCTGTAATCCCAGCACTTTGAGAGGCTGAGGCAGGTGGATCATGAGGTCAGGAGTTCAAGATCAGACTGGCCAACATGGTGAAACCCTATCTCTACTAGAAACTACAAAAATTAACTGGGCATGGTGGCTTGTGCCTGTAATCCCAGATACTTGGGAGGCTGAGGCAGGAGCATTGCTTGAACTGGGACCCGGTTGGCGGAGGTTGCAGTGAGCCAAGATCGTGCCACTGTACTCCAGCCTGGGCTACAGAGCGAGACTCCACCTCAAAAAAAAAAAAAAAAAAGAAAGAAAGAAAATATGTAAATATTCTGCTTTTAGGGCAGGTTATTAAAACATGGGTCTCATAATCAAGAGTTTATGGGCTGTATTCTATAATTATTAGGCAAAAAAAAATTCGAATAGGTTCCAATACTTAAAATATCTTTTTTGATAAATGAGTAATAGATATTTAAATTAAATTAAATATTAAATATATTAATTTTTTTTTTTTTTTTGAGACGGAGTTTCGCTCTTGTTACCCAGGCTGCAGTGCAATGGCACGATCTCGGCTCACCGCAACCTCCGCCTCCTGGGTTCAGGCAATTCTCCTGCCTCAGCCTCCTGAGTAGCTGGGATTATAGGCACGCACCACCATGCCCAGCTAATTTTTTGTATTTGTAGTAGAGACGGGGTTTCACCATGTTGACCAGGATGGTCTCGATCTCTTGACCTTGTGATCCACCCGCCTCGGCCTCCGAAAGTGCTGGGATTACAGGCTTGAGCCACCGCGCCCGGCCTTAAATTAATTATAATAAATATCAAATAAATAAATTAAATATAAATTAAAATTAAATAAAAAACAAATAGATAATGGTGGATGACAATAAAACATACAAATCAATCTCGGTTCTTCTTTTTCCACAATTGACAAATAGCCAGATGTTATGAATATCTATCAATTATTTCTACTTTGAATTCATGGACATCATAATAAATCAATATTAGATACAACTTTCTAATATAATCATTCTTTGTAAGTTATTTTTACAAAGATACTGGTGGTATACAAACTAGTTTATCACGTATGAACATGCCCCAATGACTATGCAAATATATTAAATGTAACAATTTAACAAAAATTGAAAGCCAGTTAATAATGAGTACCTAAAATTGCATATGCAATAATTTCAGACTTTTGGAAATGTAGTAAAATGGACACATTTACCTTAAGTCAAATTAATTACAATAAAATTTTTTAATAATTACATTTTCGTGTTTTATATCACCTATGCTAAGAGCAAAATTTATAAAATTCCCCACCTTAGTGAGAGTTTAGACTGTGAAATTTGCTCTTAACACTTCTAGGGCCTAATGTTTCAGTAGAGCCATGATGGTTTCTGGTCATAGTCAAGAGTATAGTATATGGTCTTTGCTGATTTGCAGTACAGCATTCAGGGCATTTTTGAAACCAGGAAAACATATCTAGAAACTGTCTTCATCTGAGACTTAAAGTACTGCATAAACATTGAAAAGGAAGACCAGTTATTAGGCACCTTAGAACCTAAACACCTTCTTTTGTAGGGTTGAATTGTCAATTCAAAGCATTAATTACACTCTTTTAAGACAGTTTTTCAGAGCAGTCTTAGGTTTACAGTGGAATTGAAACGAAAGGAAGGTACAGTGATTTCCTGTATACCTTCTGTCTCCAACACATGCATAGCTTCCCCCATTATCAACATGGCACACCAAAGCAGTACATTTGTACAACTGATGAACCTACATTGACACATAATTATCATACAATGTTCATAGTTTAATTAACATTCACAGTTAGTGCTATGCATTCTATGGGTTTGGACAATGTATAATTATATTTATCCACCAGTATAGTATCATACACAGTACTTTCACTGTCCTAAAAGTCCTCTGTGCTCTGCATATTCATCCCCTTTGCCTCAATCATTGATAACCAGTGATCTTTTATTTTCTTCATAGTTTTGCCTTTTCCAGAATGTCATATAGTTGGAATAATACAGTAGGTATTTCAGAAAAAATAAAGTAGCTTTTTTCAGATTGGCTGCTTTTACCAAGTAATATACATTTAAGTTCCCTCTATGTTTTTTCATGGCTTTCTAACTCATTTATTTTTAGCACTGAATAATATTCCTGTCTGGATATACCATAGTTTATGTATATCTTGGATATACATTATACAGTTACATTTAATGTATATACATTAAACCATTGTCTGGATATACATAAAACTATGGTATATCCAGACAATGGTTTAATGTATATCCAAGATGTCCTTTACCTTCTGAAGTTTGGTGGTTGCTTTCGAGTTTTGACCATTAGGAATAAGGTTCCAATAAACATCTGGCGTGCAGGTTTTTGTGTGAACATTAGTTTTCAAGTCCTTTGAGTAAATACCAGGAAATGCAATTTCTGGATTGTATGGTAAGAATATATTTCATTTTGCTAGAAACCACCAAACCATCTTTCAAAGTGGCTGTAACATCTTGCATTCACACCAGCAGTGAATGGGTGTTCCTATTACTCCACATCCTCGCCACATTTGCTACGGTCAGTGTTCTGGATTCTGGTCATTCTAACAGATATGAAGCAGTATCTCACTGTTGTTTTAATTTGCATCTCCCTGTGAAATATGATGTGGAATATGTTTTCATATGTTTATTTGCCATCTGCAGATCTTCTTTGGTGAAGTGCTGTTGTTATTTGGAGCATTGTAAATCAGGTTGTTTGTGCCCTTCTTGTTGAGTTTTAAGAATTCTCTGTACATTTTGGATAACAGTCCTTAATCAGGACTTTTGCAAATGTTTTCTCCTAGTCTATGGCTTGTCTTCTCATTGTCTTGACACTGTCTTTTTGCAGACCAGCAGTTTTCAATTTTAATAAATTCAGATTATCAATTAATTCTTTCATGGATCGTACCTCTGTATCTAAAAAGCCAAACCCAACATTGTCTAGATTTTCTCCCATGTGATCTTTTAAGAGTTTTATAGTTTTGTGTTACATTTAGGTGTATGATACATTCTCAGTCAATATTTGTGACGCTCTGTGCCTAGATTCTTGTTTTTTCATGATTAGTTGTCTATATTTATTGGGTCCATTTCTGGTTTTTTTATTGTGTTCCTTTGATCTATTTGTTTATTCTTTCACTAATATCATACTGTCTTGATTACGATAGATTTGTAGTAAATCTTGAGTCAGGTAGTGTCAGTCTTCTAACTGTTCTTCTCCTTCAATACGGTGTTGGCTATTCTGAGTCTTTTGTTTCTTCACATAAACCTTAGAATCAGTTTGTTATTACCTACAAAATAATTTGCTAAGCTTTTTATTAGCATTGCATTAAATCTATAGATCAAGTTGAGAAGAACTGACATCTTGATAATATTGAGTCATCCTATTTATGAACATAGAATATCTCTCCATTTATTTAATTCCTCTTTGATTTTTTTCATCATAATTTGATAATTTTTCTCATATAGATTTTGTACATATTTTGTTAGATTTATGACTAAGTATTTCATTTTAGGGGGTGTTAGTATAAATGGTATTGTCTTTTCAATTTAAAATTTCACTTATTTATTGCTAGTATATAGGAAAGTGATTAACTTTCGTATATTAACCTGTGTCCTGGAACTTTGCTATATTTGCTTATTGGTTCCAGGAGTATTTTTGTGATTCTTTCAGATTGTCTATATAGATGATTATGTCATCTGTGAACAAAGACTTTTATTACTTCCTTCTCAATCTGTATACCTCTTACTTCTTTTTCTTGTCTTACTGCATTAGCTAGGACTTAAATTTTTTCTTCTTTTTGAGATGGAGTCTCGCTCTGTTGCCAGGCTGGAGTGCAGTGGCATGATCTCGACTCACTACAGCCTCCACCTCCCGGGTTCAAGCAATTCTCCTGCCTCAGCCTCCCGAGTAGCTGGGACTACAGGTGCACGCCATCACGCCCAGCTAATTTTTGTATTTTTAGTAGAGATGGGGTTTCACCATGTTGGCCAGGATGGCCTCGATCTCTTGACCTCGTGATCCACCCGCCTCGGCTTCCCAAAGTGCTGGGATTACAGGTGTGAGCCATCACGCCCAGCCAGACTTAAATTTTTAATCAGTGTTCTGAGTTGTCACAACTGTTCCTCTTTCCTGAATAACATCCACCATGCCCTTTCTCCAGGAAAAAAAAAAATTAGCGATGGATGCACTGCTAGGCTTAAAAACAATTGCCACATGTGAAATCTGATATAATATTGCCAATAATGAAAAAGGAAAGCTACTTGGAAAAGCCAAAGAACACTGAGTGATGTAAGCATCAACATTTGCACATTTAAGTCTGGTGCAGTGGCTCACACTTGTAATCGCATCACTTTGGGAGGTTGAGGCAAGAAGATTGCTTGAGTCCATGAGTTCTAGGCTTCAGTCTAGATTGTGATTGCACCACTGCACTCCAGCTTAGGCAACAGAGCAAGGCCCTGTCTCTTAAATAAATACATACATAGTTTTCAAAAAGCTCATTAAAAAAAAAAAAAAAACCTTCCATCTTTAGACAATTTATATATTGAGGAAATGTGGAAAGTACCTATGAGGAAATACTGCTGACGTCCTTTCCATATCAATTTTGGAAATAATCCATAACAGGCTTATTGATGGCAGGGCTCAGCAACCCTAGGGGATGGGTTGACCATTGACAAGAGAGAATGTGGCTTCTAGTCTCCCTTCAATATGAAC